TGAGGACAGCAGGACATGTTTGACAGGTACAGGACATGTAAGGACAGCAGGACATGTTAGACTGGTACAGTATATGCAAGAGGAAAGCATGACATGTATGAGGACAGCAGGACAGAGATGAGATGCGCTGTATGAGTGACAGATAGCTTTAAGATAGAGGTGGAATTCCCTCTGGAGCTCTTCCATGGATTTGGAGTTGGACCCAAAGAAATCTTCAAACCTGTAAGAGAGAAACATCATCACATTAATATTACCTGTTTACCCTGCCAGCCTCCTCAGACCATTTCCTTCCTCTTCCAAGAGCTGCAGAGAAGCAACTGTCTATTATCCACTGTAAATTATAAACACTGTTACTTTTGTACCCACCTGTGTCTGTCTCGTTCCGGGTCTCATACAACTCTGGGTTCCCATTCCCATCACATTCATACATCGATGGGACACAGATCAGAGGCAATGAGTGGTTAAGTGTCTTGCCCAGGGACACTTCAGCATGTGGCTGTTGGTGGAATCAAACCCCTAACTATCGCATTGGAGGACGACTGCTCTAACCACTCAGCCACAGCTGCCCATTGTGTGGTGTGGTATGGAGACAGATACATAGACAAAAAGACAGGAGACAGAACTGGAAGTAGCAGGAATAAAGATGTTGTTCTCCTTAAGTGACAAGGATGGATAAGATTAGGAATGAGATAATCAGAGGTACAGCACAGGTTGAACAACTGGGAGATAAAGTTAGGGAGGCCAGACTGAGATGGTTTGGATATGTCCAGAAAGGGACAGTGGTTTGTACATGTCCAGAGGAGAGACTGAGGGTATATTGGTAGAAGCATGTTAGAAATGCAGCTGCCAGGAAAAAGACAATGAGTCCTTCACAAGAGGTCTCCGTACGGGACTGATACATCAACTCCCCACCTCAGTTCATTCAGAAAACATACTGAGGCAGAGAGTGGGGACTGAAACATCCTACCTCTGTAGCATCTCTTTACTTCTGTGTGAGGTAGTAATAGGCTCATAACTGTTGACATTTAAGAGGGTGGGCCAGCTTTGTGGCTCCAACTGATAAGAATAATGTGATGAAGTGCTGACTGATGCTTTTGGTGATCACCCAGACACGAGATTTGAAAGTCGAAACACCATATCCAGACTCCATTCAGATTTGAACTTTCTGTGTGTTTTTTTCAGAGACCTGCAAGCTTTTTGCTCTACGTGCAGAGGAGGAAATAAATACAAACTTTACTGGCACAAAGAAGGATAGATACAACCATGACAAGGGTCAGGCTATTTCGCAACTTAAAACCACAAAAAGGAAATTCCCCCAAGTAAATTACCACAATGGCCAAAGTGGTTGTGGTCAGATGGACAGGATGTACTTTGATCTGTGCAACGTAATATGGGTAAGAGCTATTTGGCAAATCCTATTGCTTTCATCAGCAGCTTGAATGCAGCAACACATCAGAGCTGCTGAGGTTTTTTTTCCCACCACGGCTCTTTTAATTCTGCACTGCTTACTGTACTCTGAAAGCTCATTTTAGTGTGAGAAGGGAGCGGCTCTATCAGTGACTTATGAACTGCTAGAGGGAGCATAAACACAGAATGGGATGTGAATCCATTTTGTGGATCTGTCTTCTGAAAGAGTCTTGAGTGAGACCAAAACTAAAATAGATTACTATCACCTTAAAACAAATCAAGTCCAATAAAACTCACGAGAAACCCTGCAAAGCTTTTATCGCAAGTGTTTTAATTGATGTGAATTTAGTGTTACATAGTGATTCATGCATGCGGAGTGGTGGCCAGAGGATAAAGAAGGTGGGCCTGTGATTGGAAGATTGCCGATTCGACCCCCGGTACTGACAACATGAAAATGTGGATGGGATAGGTCAAGCACCCACACCTGCCTCCACCCTCATTTCCCCCACTCTGGGCCCTTGAGCCCTTAACCCCCACCATCTGCTCCTCTGGGTGCCCTAGATGTCAGCTCTCTGTTCCACACAGAGGACTGTGGTAGCTCAGTGATCTGTGGTTGCGTCAGGAAGGACATCCAGTGTTAAAAAAAATTGCCAAGTCTTTGATCAACTTAGTTCACTGTGGCAACCCCTGATGACGGCAGCAGCCGAAAGAAGAAGAAGAAAAATAAAACAGGTGATTTATGCATAATTCACTGGTTATTTTCAAGAGAAAATTTCAGCAGTGAGCTGTGAGAGAACTTCAACCACATCCCAGCGAGGGCGTGGAACATTGAGTCTGAATGGTCCATGTTTTGCGCCTCCATTGTCAAGGTGGCTGTCTTGAGCTATGACCACAAGCTTGGCAGTGCCTCTTGCAGGAGCCATGCTCAAACTCGGTGGTGAACACTGGCTTAAGGAGCCTGTCAAGATGAAGAAGGAGTACTATCAGGCCTTGTTGGCTGGTAGGACTCCAGAGGTAGCTGAGTGGTATCGGTGTGCCAAACGAGCTGCGGTCTTGTCTGTTGCTGAGGCAAATGCTCAGGTGAGGGAGAAGTTCAGTGAGGCCTTGGACAGAGACTTTTGATTGGCTCCAAGGACATTATGGCACTCTATCAGGTGGATGAAACTGGGAAAGCAGCACTTTACCAACACCGTTTATAGTGGAGGTGGGGTGCTCTTCAACTCAACCACTGATGTCATTAAGAGGTGGAAGGAATATTTCTCAGATCTTCTTCATTCCAACAGTGTGTCATCCATGGAGAAAGCTAAGTCAGGGGACTTGGGGGTTGGTTCGTCTATAACCCGGGCTGAGTTTGCTGAGGTAGTTAAAAAGCTCCATGGTGACATGCCCAAGTTGGCTACGCATAGTCGAAAAGCATCCCGGTGGAAAACCCAGGGTTTTTTTTGCGCTGACATGGACTCCGAGCCCATCTTCGCTTGCGTTAAGCGTGTGAATTATAGCCAAACCAAACTTATTAGCATAAGTTAAGTTTTGGCTTCAAAAACAGCAGTGCTGGACCACAATCTGAAAGCTACACTTGTCAGATTGCAGCTACTATGGACATCAGTCTGGGGGGACCAGCGCTAAAAGAAAAAGGAAGTGATGCATGCAGGCACAGACAAGAGGAAAACGAGGCAGAGTATTAGCGAGACTGAAGGCTACTGCTAACAGACTGCCAATTCCATCTCTGTTCCTGGGCAACATCTGCTCTTTTGAAAACAAGCTAGATCTTCTGCGACTAAGAGTAAGTCTGTCTGTCTATTACTCTCTCTCACTATATATAGTACGGTAGCCTAA